CTCGGGAGGCAGGCCAGCGGGATTGGCATCCGGGACTGCAGGTCCCAGTGATGAGAGCCTGAGGGGGGCGTGCTGTGCGCACCCCAAGTCCCGCCCCACATGCCCGTCAGATCTAGACAGAAATAAGGGCCTACAAACGGCACCGCCCTCGGCAACCCCAGCAACGTCAGGAGCGACCTCAGGGCCCAAGCTGGTACTCAATGGGGGGTCTCCCGGCGGTACCTCCAGGGAAGGCACGCCCCTGCCCGCGGGCTGCGGGTACTCGCGCAGGAGCCGCTCCTCGTCCAGGAACTTGCCGTCGCGCCCGTTGCTGGCCGGCTGGAACAGCCCGTAGTTCAGCACGTCCTTCAGGCTCTGGTTCAGCGAGCACAGGATCCGCTGCTTCGCCACCCACACCGTGGCGTCGGGGTTGAAGCGAAGGCACTTCTGCGGGGAGGACAGTGATGCGTGGTCGGTGACCCAGTGCCCCCCGAGCGCCCGCCGGGCACGTGGCCAGAGAGAGTGAAGGTGTTTCTGTCCAAGACGCACCCCCCACCCCCGGCTTCTCGGATGGACAGCAAGGCCCTCTTATTGCTGTGGCGTGAGGAGGGGAGACACCTGGTCACTGTAAATGGGAAACGCTGAGATGGAGACACTGGTTTCTGTGGCCTTGACCCTCACCGATGACCCTCACCGATGACCCTCACTGTGACCGATGACCCTCACCAATGACCCTCACCAATGACCCTCACCAATGACCCTCACTGATGACCGATGACCCTCACCGATGACCCTCACTGATGACCCTCACCAATGACCCTCACCAATGATTCTCATCGATGACCCTTCACCGATGACCCTCACCAATGACCCTCACTGATGACCCTCACCAATGACTCTCACCAATGACCTTTCACCGATGACCCTCACCAATGACTCTCACCAATGACCTTTCACCAATGACCTTCACCAATAACCCTCACCAATGACCTTCACTGATGACCTTTCACTGATTACCTTCACCGATGACCCTTCACCGATGACCTTCACCAATGGCTCTCACCACTGATTCTCACCAATGACCTTTCACCGATGACCTTCACCAATGACCCTCACCAATGACCCTTCACCGATGACCTTCACCAATGACTCTCACCAATGACCCTCACCAACAACCTTCACCAATGACTCAAATCTCCAGTCATCAATGACCGCCTCCACCCTGGGCGCCTCTCTCCTGTCGGCCTCTCAGAGTCCAGCGCCTGCTGGACACAGACCGTCCACCCTCCCCACCAGGAGCGTGTCTGACTCCACAGGTCTGGCCGGGGCCCTACAACCTGCGTGTCTCCCACGTCCCAAGTTCAGGCCGTGGCCGCCGGTCTGGGAACACACCTGCAGAGCCACGGAGCAAACTGGAGGCGACTTCTCGTACTTCCCGTGCCCTTGGCTCTCTCAGATTCAGGTGGGCATCCCGCCTGGGCCCCTCACGGGGAGAAGTCCAGCCACGCCCACTGCTCACAGCTTCCCACACCCAACACCCACCGACCACACAGCGAGGCAGGTGGGGGGAGCCACAGCACTGGCCACAGAGCTACACTTCACAGAGCCCAACATGTGGGCGGCGCCCCCACCCCGATCAGGAGCGACTCAGCAGGCCACATCCCTGTCCCCTCCCTGGGACTCCCCCAGGTGAAGTCAAGCTGTTTCCTCTGCACAGCCACCGGCAGGGCTCGGGACCTGCTTCTTCCTGGGACGCATTCAGAGCCACATGAGGCTGGACTGGCCCTGGGGCTGGGACCAGTTCCCACAGGGGGTATCTGCGTGTCTGGGGGTGTGGGTATAGCCCCGCTACTGTCCCCCGGCTCAGGCCGGCTCCGCCTGCTGGGTGAGGGGATCCGATCCCCGCGACAATGAGCTTGGCTCAGCAGGTGGCCGGGAGCACCCCTCCCCGCCCCCGGGAAACGTGGTCCCTTTGGCTGAAGGCTCCCTCTGTCCCTCTCCAGGGTCAAAGGCTGCACAACTCAGCAAAATGCCAACAATTGTTGAACAAGAGACTTCAAATGAATGGGTTCTGTGCGGCTCCCTCTGTCCCTCTCCAGGGTCAAAGGCTGCACGACTCAGCAAAATGCCAACAATTGTTGAACAACAGACTTCAAATGAATGGGTTCTGTGCTTGTAAATGAGACCTGGGTACAGTTTTTTAAAGATGAGCCCTGGCTGAGAGC